CCTGGCTAAGCTTTCTCCCCGAAATTGGGCGCTGCATCACTGGTATACACCTACTTCAGCAAGAATTCAGTCCATGGGTTTGTGCTTATGTACTCTTGCTTTCATCACACTGTGTTTCAAGATTGTTGCTCCTTTCTCTGAGTTTTCTTTTTAGCTGGAACTGTAGATAAAATCTACTGTTCTCATCAGCAACTTTCAGGAGTTGTTGCTTGTAAACTCTAATTGAGGCTGTGATTGACAGTGGGTGGCAAGGGTGAAACTGGGAGAGGGATATGCCTGTAAAACACATGCAATAGAAATCTGCTCACAGATCCTGGAATTGATGAGTTTCTTTACACTCCCATCACCACAATAAAAACTGTTGTCTCATGGACGAATAAGCCACGGATATTTGGTTTTGTACAACACTGTGGGTGGTAGATCTCTAAACCAAACCAGATTAGGGCCACCCAGCAAAATCTATTATAGGAGAAAAGCTCCAGAGAAACATTATTTTTTTACCCTTTTGTGACTAATAAGAAAAATAGTCATTATCAATAAAAGAGATGCCTGTTTTTAAACAAGTTTTATAAATGCTTAGAAAAATGCACATTTGCAAAACAAACATTAATACTTTTAAAATTGCATCTGTGCTTTCACAGTTAAAAAAACCACCAATGGCTGAAATAATTGCCTTCCCACTTTTGCTGTCAAGGATGTTTTTCTTACTTCTTAGTCATAAGCAGGGCTGACTAGATAGTCACTGCTAATGGTGACAGCAACTAACAGATTTTTTTTTACTTGCAGAACTAATGTTAGCATGCATCTCTATCTCACACATAAATTTTTAGTTTAACACCGACTGCTTCAATCATTACGTGGACTTCATTAAATCTTCAGAAGTTGTCTCAAATTAGAACAGTCTGTAACATTTAAAAGTTGTGTGTGTTCTGTCTGCATGTCTACAAATATAGTATGCAGGCAGACCTTCAGTCTACAACAAACTAATGCTTGCAAGACCCCTAAAATAGTTTTAATTAATGTTTCTGACATCTTCAGGCTGAGGAAAGATCTTGCCTAATACTGCATGTTATAAAACACGAGGATGCATAATTTGTTATTAATCACCTATCCTGACATAAACATCTCTCTGTCAGCTTAAGGCATCTCAAGATCCAGCACAAATATTTTAAAAATAGAGGTAGTCCAGGTAGGTACTTGCCTTTTTTAAAAAATAAAACTCCAACACATCCTCCTATCCTCTCAACGCAAGTTTTAATGTCCTTTTCCACAAACAAACATAATGTAATCTTCTTTTCCATAATTCTGTTATTTGTGCATCACAATTTGGCATAGCTGCTTTTCTTGAAAGCAGATCTTTTATCATTCCTCATTGTATAGAATTATTTTGGCTGAATTCCCTATTTGCTCATAGATTGCTATTTTTGTTTGGTATTGAGCTGCTTGTCAGGGCTGAGAAAAAAACCAACCAGCTGTAGCAATTCTTTATGTCACCAGCATGTCTTCAGAATCTCATTTATGGACTGAAAATAATACAGCTAAACATTTAATCAGTCTCATCTCAGTTGCTCCACACTGCATTGCCTCCAAGACAAAGACATATTTTGCAGGACATATATCAATGACTAAATCAGACAAACACCTAACAAACACCTCGCAAACACCTAACTCCATACCACTTACTGTTCACATGCTGCTTCATGTCCTCTTATAAAATTTATGCCTGTTTTAGAGAAGTTGAATTATCAAGCACTAATGGATCCCCAGTGACAGAAATTGCGGCATACTTGCAAGGCTTATTAAACAGTGCATAAATTCCTCAAAAATTTTTCACTTTCAAAACTGTTTCCTAAGGAATTTAATCTGAATTTTCTTTAAAATAAAACATTTTCCAACATACACAGCAGTCAAAAAACTTTGGTATGGATACTAGTAGACTCTGAAATGGCATTCAGATCCCATGCTGGTGTTAACTTGACTCTTTAACCTTAAGAGAGAGTGTGGACTTTTCTGTAAATAAGCACTCAGACTGAATAGGCAGACACAAGTTGGGGATCTTTCACTGGAAGCAGAGATATTTTCAACTGTTGCAGCTATTTGTGTCATATGTTTTCATTCTACTGAGTAACTGAGAACCAGCATTTTTTGGGGGCCTAGGTTGCATCTTTTTGTGACTGTACCTAGATTAAGCCAAAGAAAATTAATTTTTGCAAGGATAGCCATGCAGTAGGAGTCATACTTCTGGGTGGATGAAACAGCTCATGGAATGGGGCAATGAGAATAGAGCCATATATCAACCATCATTATTGGACATCACTGGCTCAGACAAAATCCACGGCCGCAATGTGTAAAAGTGAATGCCTTTATCTCAGTGGCTTGGGTACACAAAACAGGCAGCTGTCACCCAACCTAAAACTGGCAGCCTGTACTCTAAGAATTGCCATAGCAACCAAGTACTTCTGAAATCTCAGTATATTCAGTAGGGTGTGACCTGAGGAACTTCAGCACTGCTCTCTGGCCATTCTCAGAAGAAGGGTCTCTCTCTGATACTGGTACAAGAAATTATTTCCTTATTCCCATTAAGATAGAAGTGGGCTGGCAAATCCTCTTCTCCATTCAATGGTTGGCAAAGTACAAAGAAAACAAACTGCAGAGCGGAAGGACAGTTCAAACATACCAGACACCACCACACATTTACATCTGTGACCTTGCAGTTTACAGCAGTACACTCTAAGTCTGCTTAAACTGCAACTTCCATTGGCACAGCTGACTGACAGGCAGCCAGAGCATTCTAAGCCAAAACCAGAATACTGATCTTAAAGAATCCAGCAAAAAAATCCACAGAACAATTTTTTTACACGTCATGATTTCTAAATTTCCATTAGCTCCAAAGATATAGTGTTGAGTTGTGCCTGAAGCTCAGAGCCTGGTCATTTCTTCCCCCACACACCAGCCCAGGGGAACTATAAATGATGAGCACAGAAGGAAGTTCATAAAGCAGAAACTGCCTCAATATTTAAAGAAGAGTTGTCAATGATTTATACCACTAACTGGAAAAGAAATGGTACTTGCCTCTGACTTTTTGATAGAAATTTTGAGTGCACAGACAACTGACTGGTAATTCAGAAACAAAACACAACATTCAAGGCTATTTCAGCCAAACTGAATGAGAAAGAAAAAAGGATTGAAAAAGTATTGTGAAATTATATATGAAAAAAATCTGAAATAAAACTTCAGGAATCATATAAGTGTATCTTACCAGCTAAATTAATCTACATGTTGTGATACCATGAAGGATTATAGGGTGTGACATAAACTTGCCAATTTCTCATGACTGTGGTGTTCAGCATTCCTCATAGGTCAATTTTGTGTAACATCCCTTCCCTTTCATGGATGCCACAGAAGTTACAGTAATTTCAAGTAGACAAAAATCCTCAACTTAATGGCCCAATTCTAATAGGACATACCCAATAGATGAAAAATTATATATGAAACTTGTTCTGGGGGTGGCCTACAGATATTTTCACAGGAATATATCCAAATGAAGGGATTCTGTATGTCCAAGTCATGCTTATGACTGTATGTGATTTCCACCAGAGGTACATTCTTGTTCTCAGTGACCTCTATCCCTTCAAAAGTTACCTTTTTTTGGGTTTTTTTTTTGTGTTCAATTTAATATACTTATTAGCCTTCAGACAGAGAGACAAGAACCAGGAAACTCAGATCATTATAGAAAGCAATTACTTTTTCTTTGATTCAACAGTCAAAATAAAGAAGAAGTTAAGAAAATAATTTCATAACTGTATAGAAGGGGCAATTTTACCTAAATCAAGATTTTACTGGATGATCCAAGGGCACCACACTGGAAATTAATTTTTGTCTTGACTCCATCTTTTCCCATGATCTCATGACTAAATGTGTATGTCTTAGCTGAGGTCAGTATCTTGTGCAGAAGGAGTTGCTAGCAGAACCCTGGACAACTTTGTTGTACTGTGTTGTTCATTATTACTGCCTACTACAGTCTTTTCCTGTTCTTATATGATGATTTCTCACAGGACAGAACCAAAATATAAAATCCCAAGCATACACATGGGAAGAACGTATGTTATCAAGACAGTTAAACATACAACTTATACTGAAAATAATCTCTCTCTGTGTGCTCTTCCACACAAATGAGTAATGTGGAGGGATCAGAAAGTAAAGGCCACCTGAAGGAAAAACAGCATAGTTTTTGTGGTATACTGATAAAAGCATTTTGTTATGTCAAATTCTCAGGTCACACCTGGGACCAGCATACTGGAATTTAAACAGGTTAGGATTCACCAATTCACATGAGAAGACAAATGCTAAATGATCCATCTGTTGAGACCACAGCAAAGCTGCAGACAGCCATGACGTGTGGTTCCACAATTTACAGCCTTCATCAGAACATACACAGTAAATGGTGACTGTAATGCCCTTTTGATCTTATCCTGGGGCAGTTTAATGCATGGATATATATGTGGAAGGCAAAAAACTCATCTCCTCCATCTTCTCTTACCACAACCATGTATGTCAAGCCCTCCTGTAGCACTAGGAGAAATGCAATTTCAGCTCCAACAGAGGATAATAGCAACAACCAATGACCAGTTTTCTTATCTCTGTATCAATCTTCATCAGATGGGAAAATAAACTAAGACTCCCAGTTTCTGGATACAGAGTGCTCTGTTGACTGTATTAGGCACTTATGTCCTTTAGTACTTTACAATCCCTTATTTTTTACTTACTCAAACAGAAGTACGGTTCCTGTCTGCCACACCAGTCTGACCTGGCATCCAGACCTTGCTGAAGATTTACAGTGCTCTGCTTAACCCATTTACATGCACTTGCCCTTCTTTCTGTTATGAAATCAGACTACAGCAAAACATGGTTTTGTTCACGGGACTGATAGGCAGTAACACATGGCAAGTGATGAGTCAAAATATCAATTATTTTCCTAAAAGTTAAATAACATGCTTTACCTATCATTGTATTTCACTTCCTCTCCATTCTTAGCCCAGCTGATGGTGGGCTTTGGGTTTCCCACTGCTTCACAGTGAAGCAGCACACTCAGTGTGCCACTTGCTAGGACCACTGTCTGTCCCAGGTGGGTGACAACCTCTGAAGCAGAAAGTTGTTGTGCTGCTGAAATCTTTCGGAGGATGGCAGGCTTTTGATGAGGCCTGTGCAAACCATTGGCCAGGTCTACAGAAGTGGGAATAAATGTTTCAGCAGATGATGTCCTCAGGGAGCTGGTAAATCCAGAAACACGTCTGTGGAAAGGGTACTCCACTGAGGCTGAATCAACTTTTCGCCTTGGTGCTTTGAGGACAGATTCCTGATGGTCCAAGTAGCTCCTGAAAGCCTCATGAGCCAGGTGCACAACAAGATATTCAGTGTAGATATCTTTAAGCTCCTCAGGCTGTCGAGACAAATTTCTTATGATATCATCCAAGCGTTTCTGCTCTGTGACCACAGTAAATGGCAAGCTATGCTCCTGGCTCTGGTCCTGTTCTGAGGATGCATTTCTCTCCACAGACTCCTGGGCTTCCCAGGACTCCAGACTTTCTGCTGGCCAGCCCTTGAGCTGTAGCAGCCTCGAGACAATATTGTCATACCATCTGCTGGGGTTAGCAAGGTGCCCTCGTTTTTCAGCCTTGCTGCCATTGAAGAAAATCCCATTGAGATGTTTATCCTCTGTTCTCAAGGCATCGTTTAAGCCAGCCTTTCTCATGGCCTCTTCCTCCCTAATACCAGCTGGCTGCTCAGCAATGATCTTTTTGTTGCTTCCAATCAGTTTAATTATGAAATGCTCCCGGGCTGGCCCTGCTGTGCAGGTGTATGTCCCAGTGTCTGAAGGTTTCAGATGATGGATTTTCATGTACCCGAAGGGTGCAATGGTGATGTGAGCTGAACTGACAAGCCTCTTATCATCCTTCTCCCAAGTGATCATTGATTTCCGGAATCTCCTGGTAGGGCATCGGAGAATAACAGAAGTTTTGGGCAGCAGGTAGGCATATCCACCCACAATGAAGTGCAGTTTCTTCTGCTTCCTTGTCTGGATGTAAACTTGCTTTACAGCCATTATATAGGGGCTTTGCTTATGAGCTGGTCTGTTGTGCCCTGAAATATCATTATATGATTAGCATATGATACCATTAAACAAAGCAATTCGTTTACATTGTTGTGGGCAGCATTTGGCCCATTAGACAGTAATGGCAGAAGCTGGACACCAGTTGCTGGACGTTAAACTAAAACAATCAAAGTAGGAGGAATAACAAGACACACTCCAGGAATGTGAAAGTAGCCTAGAGTATATGCAGAAACCAAATATCCAGGGATAAATCTTTACGGGAGAGAGAAAACTTCAGCAGAAACATAGTTCTTGTTAAAGTACTTAAACAAAGACTGTTATTTAAGAAATGCACTGAATAGACAAGTGTTTATCATTTAAAACCTTCAAAGGCAATGTGATCTTGCAGCTCACAACAGCAAGGTAGAATGAGAGTCTTGCTGCCTCAAGGTGTAATGCTGGACAGGAAAAAACTCTCTGGGCTAGGCTTAAAAACGTGGTAAATACTATTAAAATTCACTAGTTCAGCGAGTTCTTCTGGTTTCCTGATCTCTGTGTCAGAGATCTTTAGTATGAAGCACTAAATTAAGCTGCATAGGCATATTACTAGTAAATACCATGTAAAATTTGGTCTAAACTTTAGTTCTAAACATCAGATCTTTTCTCCCTACATACCCTTACATTCAGCAGTTTCAGAGGCAAGCTGAAGCTAGGCTGACTTTCACATATCCAGTTGGCTTACTGTAAACTAGGGAAGAGTATACAGGGGACTTGTGATGGGCAAAAACAAATGCATGAACTACCAACGTAAATCTAACTTGTGTTGCATGGTTCATTAGCAGTCTCAGGTCATAGAGGATTTGGAGTGACATAATGAAATAACAGGTTTCTAAATGATCGTTGGCAAAATCCCTTACCAACCATTTTCCTTGCAGCTGTTCTAGCAGACAGTTTATTTGCTCCAGCCCTCCAGCTGCTGTGCTGTGTCTCTGAGCCTCTACATTCCAGCTGCGAAATTAAGATCTAGATTTTGGTCAGAATTTTGAGCGAGTTCTTCCAGAAACTAGTAGTTCCCTTCCAGCACACTGGCTCATATCCAGCTCCATTAGTGAAATCTGCAGCACTTCTCCACTGGCTTGACTTATTTACGGACAAAAAAACCCACTCCACAAGACTGAGTAATACTAGCGTGAAAGCAGGCTGTGAAGCAGGAAATAGCATGGATTTCTTAGTGAAGCACTTCCAATCCCTTTTCCCCAGACACTGCCAAACACCTTTTCCACTTACGTGCACAGGGGCCTAGTGAACAGGGCCTGATCAAGGATGAGAATGGCAAAGGGAGGCAGAGTGAGGAATTGATGATAACAAAGCCCCCGGTTTTCAGCATCTTTCTGCAAATAGCATTTCGACTCTGTGTGCCTTCTCCACAGCTCACTGAACACTAGGAACAGGATGAGAAACATTAGGAGAAATGAAAAAGGTGGTCCATGAAAACACACTTCCTTCCTCAGCTCCCATATCCACATTGCATACACACACCACAGGATAAAGCAGTTGCAGTTTTCAAAATGTTGGTTGCAGCAGAATAAAACAGAGCAGCATCTGACCATGCAGCTACGAACAGTGCAGGCATAGTAAGGAGATGAATTACTTCTTATTTTCTGTCCTGTAAGGCTTAATTTCTTTCCATGCTCTTGTTGCCACTTCTTTTCTGTCAGATGGTGTCTCTTGTTTTAATGGTACCGTGCTACAGTTCGAAGCCAGTCTTTAAGCTTTGTTTCTATGTGTCTGTGTCTGCTGGCTGGAAAAACTCCAGCTCATGTCCAGGAGTAGACCTCACGGAGCTGCAGATCACAGTTGCATTCTGGGCCAGATAAAATCCAGCCTAAGCTTAATCTTTAAGCTTTGCTGTTGAAAATCCCTTTAGGAATAATAAAGGGATGAATATTTTAGTCACCAATTAATTACCTCAGCCTTGTAGTTACTATACATGGTCTACACAGAATGGTATAAACCCTCTAATACCAGACTGCAGTGCTTGTTGCACAGGTGGACATGGTTTGATGGACTTTATCATGATTATTCAGTTTCATATTTATGCATATAGCATTGTGGAAAAAGAAATACAGACAGTGTCTTTGCACTGAAACAAAGCAGCAGTCTGTAAAAGGAACTAGAAAATGGGTAAAGCACTGTAATTACCATCTTCACTGCCAGAATGGCTATGTGTCTCCTGGCGGAAGACTTTATGAAAACATACACTAATTTGAGTAAAATGCCCAGGCAGATCCCCATAAAGAGGGTGCAGGTGGGACAGCTCTGTAGGGTGGTTGGCATTTCTTTTACAACTTCCGCAAGACAATTTCCACTACCTTCCATGAAAGAGGACTGGAAGAGTGGTGGCAGAGACTGCAAGATGTGGAATCATTTTCATGCTGACTGCCATGAACCTTTGCCCTTGCTTTGACCTTATAAAGCAAAATTATATTTTTATAATATTTCTCCTCCCTTCCCCTTTCCCTTTCCCTTCCCCTCTCCATTCCCTTCCTCTCCTGTTCCCTCCCTTCCTCTTATTTTCTATTGTCTTCATCACAGGAAAGGGCTGGAGTGACCCCAAGAGGAAAAGACTATTGAGATGAGAACAGCTAGATTTTGGCAACAAAGAGCATGTAGCCTAGGGTAATAAAGATTACTCTTCATCAATGCCTTGGATGAAATAATAAGCATAGGCAGGGACAGAGGCAGGGATTCATTGTTTGGAGCAAGGGATTTATTGTTTACACCAGAAAGGCCTTAAAGGTTTGGTCAGATGGCTAAAGCACATCTGTGGAGGCAGACACCACAGAGGAACATGGAGCTAGTGATAGCATCCCTAACCAGGATGGTGAGGACAGATTACAGGACAAAACTGGACATAACATGCTTTGTGAAGTCTGACCTTATTTGGGTCCTCTATCCCAACTGGCTTCGGAACTTCATCTCCAAGATCTGCACAATGCTCATGCAAACAAATAGTATACCTGTGTCCAGTCAGAGAGAAGCCATTCATTGGGACAATCCTCATTTTTGCAGGCTTGTTGTGTAATGGTCCTTGGTGTGGGGCAGAAGGTTTCTGGCAGCTCTAACAGGCTTCCATCGGCCAGGCGCTGCTTACAAAGTGTATCTCGCTTCTGGACACCACCACCACAGGTCTGTGAACACTGAGAGAAAAGAGACAGCCACCTCACACCATACCCTCACCACCCTCCTTGCTGCAAAAATTACTTGTGAATTAGGGTAGAAATCAACACTTGGTCTTGGCCAAATACAAAACATAAAACAAAAATTTCAGAGACCTCGAAGTAGACTGTTTTTAAAAATGTCAAATTTATTTTGGAAAAGGGGAGCAGCTTAATTTGCTAGTGTTTAGAGAAACTGTTTCAGTACTTCTGAAGTGTTCTGTTTTAAGGTATTCTTTCAAAAGACATTGAAACAGTCAGTGAGTCAGCATTGAAGTATGGAGGTGGGAAATTTGTCGTCTCCACCTGGAAACTGAGACAATTGCATTTGATGTGGAGAATTTAAATAGTAACACCTGTGTCTGCGCTCTGACACTAACCATGTCAGAAAGAGTGGAAAAGTCTTGTCCAGCAGTAGATAAGTAAATTGAGATTATTCATATCCAGAGAATACACCTCCCTTCTGTCTTTAATGTAAATATCCCTCTCTACATCCACTTTTCTACTTAAGCAGGGCAGGAAATTTTGAGTAACCAAATTTAGTAGTTTTCCTGAATATTTTTTGTAAATTTAAGTTGCTTAGCCCTTTTTCCCGAGGATCCTTTTCCTGAGGCTGGTAAGAGACTCCCAGTTCTGCTCAGTTCAGCCAGCTCAACTCCTTTTCTCATTTCTTCTAGCAAAGGAAAGGGGGAGCTTGCATTACATTGACATGACCAGGAGTTGCTTATAGCTTGTGACATGGCAATTATTCAAGAGAAACAGACAATAATATGGAGAAGTATTAAAAAGTATACTTAAGCAGTTAAAAAGGGAGTGTTTTAAAAAATCTTGCAGTCATGAAAGGCCCTTCTCTCTGAGATAAAGAGCTGCATGAACTTTAATGTTAGCATGAATATTTAGGCTAAACATTTTCTTTGAAAGACAGAAAGGAAGTGCAGACAGACATTTTTACATTTGGTTTCTTTTAATGTGTAAAATTAGCTTTTGTCTTACTTATTTTGAATGGTACAAAGCTCAAAGGCTTCCAAAAATTAAGCAACAAAAACATTAGTTTTCAACAGAAGAAAATGTCTATCAGCCTCTCGTTTTAGGAGAATTCATTCCTGAGGAGGAAGAAAAATATGATTAAAAGTATTATTCCAATGTTACCTAAGGACTTTTATCATATCATACACAAGATACCAAATGGGTCACTCACTATGAGTATCACAAAGTATGTTCCTACCGTCAATCAGTAAATCTCAGGAAGTCTCTTTGCCCTTCTAGCTCTGCCAGAGATAAGACAAAACATATCTTTTCTTGCTTCTTGGACTTTATTCACTTACATAGTGTTGTCCCTGCACAGGACAGCCCCAAGAGTCATACCATGTGCCTGAGAGCACTCTCCAAACACTTCCTGAACTCTGTCAGGCTGGTGCTGTGACCACTGCCCTGGAGAGCTGTTCCTGTGCCCAGTCTCCCTCTGGGGGGAGAACCTTTTCCTGATATCCAACCTAAACCTCCCCTTACACAACTCCAGGCCATTCCCTTGGGTCCTCTCACTGGTCACCACAGAGAAGAGATCAGTGCCTGCCCCTCCTTTGCCCCTCACAAGGCAATTGTAGACTGCAATGAGGGCTCTCCTCAGTCTCCTCCAGGCTGAACAGACCAAGTGACCTCAGCTACTCCTCATATGGCGCTTCCCCTCAAGGCCTTTCATGCCCTCACTGCCCTCCTTTGGACTCTCTCCAATAGTTTAATTTCTTTCTCATGCTGTGGCCCCCAAACCAGCCCCCAGCACGGGAGGTGAGGCTGCCCCAGCTCAGAGCAGGGCAGGACAATCCCCTCCCTTGCCCAGCTGTGATGCTGTGCCTGATGCACCCCAGGACAGGGCTGGCCCTCCTGGCTGCCAGGGCACTGCTGACCAATGTTCAACTTGCCATCAGCCAGGAGCCCCAAGTTCCTTTCCATTGTCTCCCATGTGGTTTAATTTTACACTGCTCTCTATTCAAGGTATACCACAATATAGTGGTGTACCCTGAATAGAGAGCAGTGTAAAATTTTTTATTTTTTAATTTTTAAATTTAAAATTTTTTAATTTTTTCCTTACTGTCAAAAATTAATTCTCTGCTAAGATTCCACAGTAAGATAAAGCACCTGCAAAAGGAGTAAATGCTTTTTTCTCATACAGTCTCTCAGTTTCTTTTAAGGCCGGACACTTGAAGATTTAGAAGAGACATTTTATCATGTGGATTAGAAATAGAAAGGAAAATATAAGAAAATGCTACCAATTTTCCCATGCTGACTTTGTTTTAAAGTCATTGTTCTAATTATCTTTGAAGCAAAGACAGCACTGGAGCAAATGAAGAATGCTAGGACTGACACTTTAGCACTTATTCAGTAATAAAACAAAGGTGGATGAAGATTTACTAATGGATCTCTTCCATTTCAGGTAAGCAGGACAGATATTTATAGGACCTTGTAAAATGAAAGCTTAAAAGCTGCTTCAGAAGCACACCACTGAAAATGATAAAGATTCTAGTGCATTTAGTTAAGACACAGAAATATTTAAAAGATCCTTTCCTCCCGCAGTCGTGTTATTAAAACTGTAGTATTACAACCATTTAAAGAAACATCTTTAAGTCTTTTGAATTACACAAGTATTTGCAACCAGATTTCAGCAAATTAAGTCATTTCAGAGTGCTTTCTGAAAATGGAAAGCCTTGTAAAGACCCATTGTGTAGACAGGAATTTTTATAATTAGTGTAATAAACCACGCATCTCCCAGCGGGAAGTGTTTAACACTCATTTCTTAATCTGAAGCATGAGGAATGTATCTTGTACTAAACGAAATTATTATCTGAGAACATATGAGGCACTCAAAATGCTTTAAAGACTCTTTTATCCTTAATCCTTCTAGTTAAGTATTCCTAGAAACCTAGACATAGCTCACTCAAGTCCAGTCCCTGCAGCTGACCAATATATTCCAGATATTTTTGTTTGAAATCTATAGCCAGCTGTTAAGATTTTCCAATAACTTTGCATTAGAAATAGCTACAGTCATTGTTTACTTCTGGAAACACAGATGCATTTTTTAAGAACAAAAAATGCACACTTAGCATTTTTTAAATGGCTTGTCAGAATGATTAATGATTCCTGTTGATGGGCTAAAGTTAAACCATAGAATCACAGCATGGTTTGTGTTGGAAGGAACCTAAAAGTTCTTCTAGTTCCACCCCACCCCCCTGCCCTCCACTAGGCAAAGGACACCTTCCATTAGACCAGGTTGCTCAAAGCTACATCCAACCTGGCCTCGAACACTTTCAGGAATGGGGCATCCACCATCTGCCTCGAGCAACATGCTTCACTGCCTCACTACCCATACACTAAAACATTTTTTTTCCTAATAACTAAACTAAATCTACCCTCTTTCAGTTTAAATCCACTACTCTTTGCCCCATTGCTACATGCCCTTGTCAAAAGTCCCTCTTCAGCTTTCTTGTGGGCACACCTGATAAGCTGTAAGGCTGCTCTGTGCTCTCCCTGGAGCCCTCTCTACTGCAGGTGACCGGCCTGTCTTCATAGGAGGGGTGCTCCAGCCCTTTGAGCACTGAAATGTGTGCAATGAGGACTTTAGGCAGTCATAAAATGAGGTTACACATAAATTCTTACCTCTTGCCATTCTGTAGGATACCAGGAGGGTGGGCAGTCAAAGCGATTACAGGCTTGCACAAGGGATGGCTTGGGTTTAGAGCACAATTCATCTGCCAAAATCACAGTCTCATTGGTCTCTCTTGATAGTAGATGAAAACAGAAGACATCTCGTGTCTGCAAACCAACCCCACAGGTAAGACTGCAAGTGCTCCAATTCCCAATCTCCCATCTGTGAAGAGGTCAGCAGAGACAATCTTAAGCACAGAAAAAAAATCACCTTAATTTTTCTCCTATTATAGTGACAGATGAAGAAATAGTGAATGAAAGGGAAATTTCCTTCTCAGATCAATATCCCTCTGGTAGCTGGAGAATGAGGCTAAGATGAATATTTGCAGCTCTGCATTTTCATCTCTTGTCAGAAGTTCTTGGACTGCAAGTCTCTGGGATTCCTGCAATATCACAATAAATGTTTTGTGGCCTACAGTAAGATTTTTTTTTTTGTCTGTAGGAGCATGGACAATGTAATTAAAAATAGAGTGGAATTAATTATTTTCTCCCACTATCTTGAACAAAAAATAAAGGAAGATATTAACAGAAGTGTAATTAAAGGAATGTAAAACTGAAATGCTGAGCACAAATTTCTTTGGTATTCTTGACTGACTTTTCTAGGCTGTTGAGATAGGAGGTACTAAAGCTTTGAGAGATGCAGTGGGAAAGCAGGGGATCATCTTTAACCCCTGGATGAACACCTGTCACTGAGGTAAATCTTCTCTGAACTAGCTATGTAAATCCTGCATCAACAGGATTGTTGATAATGGTATTTCAGTGTTCATCACCTTAAAACCAGATTTCTGCTATTTGAACTGTACAACCCCTAATTCTGTCAGGTAAACACAGAAAATTCTTTAAAACACTAGGCCTTCCACTCATGTCTCAGCTAGAAAGCACTTCAGAGATATGTAAAAATGTATACACAAAAAATAAGTTGTATATTCAGAAAGAAAATACAAGAAAATAGCCACCCCAACAAATTCATGCAAAACTCAATGTTGACCTGGATATACTCTCACATCCAAAATGAAAGCATGAAAATCCAGATAGTGCTGTTTTTTCTAAGTCTTAAGAGTAGTTTCATTTCCAACATGATATTATTGAAACTGATTGCTGAGAAAATAAAAATTCAGAAAAAGGAAAGCTCAGAGAGCCCATCTTTGAAGAAAGCAAATCCAGGCAGAAGCTTAAAGAGAGTGATTATGAAGGAAGATACCCTCAGGCTCCAAATAGGATGGAGGCAGATAATGAAGAAAAGTTATGAAGCATGTCAGCAGAATGTAGCAGATTTTGTGGAAGAAGCAGAAAAAACCCACTCTGATGCTCAGAGATCTGCAGTCAATGGAAATAGCTCAGTGCATGTAAAACATACAATGTTAGCAAACACAGTACTCAACCATTTAAGATTGTGCTCTCCTACAATCACTGAACAATTCTAACCTCTTTTTATTTTATAATTTTATTTTTTGAGCATGTTTCCTTTCTTTCAAATAACACCCTTAACATATTCAAACAGCTAGCAGGTAAGAAATATTTTTTCCTCCCTAGATGATATGCTGATGGACCAAAGGCGCATTGCTCCTCTACTGTGCTCCATCTGCTGGTCACATTCTCTGATTTTATAAAAGGATCCATCCTGAGCCTCACTGTAAGCACAAATGATGCTGTAGTTTGCTTTTAGACAATATTCTTGGTTCTGTTAGTAGCAATGACAACAATCTACTTAACCCTTTCTAACAATAAATGCATCTTACATACTGAAGTTCCCATGGTCACTTTCCAGGCCATAGTACACTGAAGGACACTAATCTGTACATATGTACCAGGAGCTATTTATCAGTGGAAAAGGAGTAACATATGGCAGCCAGTTAAGCTAAGCTGGAGTATGCTCTCCATATGAGTGATCTGAGGGGAGAGGTCTTCCCAGAATTTCCTATGAAATTGTCAGAATTAATGGAAATATCATCTACTCTTCAGTTTTGGTGCAACTAAATGAGATGTTTGAGTAGGTGGTGAAAAGAAGGCATTTTCTTACTTTAGAATCTATTTTGATACATGGTTAGTTGCCAGAATTTCTTTTTTTCAAGTGTTGGCAGTAGCTGTTGCCTCCAGCAACATTTTGTTTGTTATTGGTTAAATGCAAAATGTTTCTGTTGGCAATTCACATCTCAGTGGCTAACAAGCCACATAAACCTTTTGGACATCTTGGCTTCTTCAGAAGAGGGTGTCTGTTTCTTCTTCCAGAAAGAAATGCTGTATTTCCATAAAGAAAAGGGATTTGTTTTTCTGAATTGTTTGTGTTTAAAATTTCTGAATGTTGCAGGTTGCATCTGTAACCCTTCCCATAACTAACATTGTTTTTTCACAATTCTTTCCAGATGCATTAAAGAGGAGTTTCCTTTGAGGAGCTCACAAACTGTGAGGTCAAATACTTCTTACCCTTGTATTTCCGTAGCCCCAAGTGACTTATATGGGCTTTCACAGATGGAAAACAAAGAATGTAGAGTAGAGCAGACGTGTAAAGTGGAGTATGGATGTGCAAATAACTGAACCCATAAATGATATTACATGAATTTCAATGTCCTAAGAAGCATAGAGAAAACCACTGATAATTTTATAGAATTACAGGCCTGTACAATTATTTTATAATAGCTAAAGGTGCTTGCAACACTTTGAATTAATATTATCCTACTAAATTTACCGATTGGTTTCTAGAATACTTGTACTTGGAGATAATATTTGTGTTGGAGATAATAATCTTAAAAATATATACATATTACTGTTTTTCTGGAGTAATGCTGTTTTGTCCCTATTGTAGAGTGTTACATAATGCTAACTGAAATATGTCCTGTCCTAGTTCATGTGGTACTTAGCTGTGAACTCCTCTATCTTTTCTTCTGGGTGTTTTGCCCATGCTGACTCACACACAGGGCATACAAAAAAGAATGTCCTATATGCATCTGTCAATACCAGAATTAAAACGCAAATAGGAAAGAATCTTACACTTTAAAGGCTAAATAGAGTAGATACAGAATCAAGCTAAAGGAACCTTGCACAAGTGGAACTTGTGATACCTTTGTAAGCTGACTGCGGCTGCTGTTAAGGTATAGACTTTAGGAACAATCTGCATACTTGCTGGTTTATAGAACAGCTGAAAGTCATCTGTTTGATACTTCCCATATTACTTTTCACACCTGGTGAAAGAATTGCATAGTTTTGGTCCAAAACATACATTTTATCCCTTCTCCTTTCTCCTTCACTACCGCCCAAAACTCTACAAACATGTGATAACAGAGAAACAACATAAAAATATAGCCTTATCATACAGTAGGACCTTGGTGCATTTATGCTACTAAAGCCCTGGCTTATTCTAGCTCTAGGACTGTCAGTTCACCAGTTGTCCATCTCCACCTCCTAAATATCTAAGTAGTGTTTATGTATGTAAGCCCAAACTAGACTTTAAAAATATTTCAACAACTGTATTTAATATGAAACAGATTTCAAAACGTTTTCATCATCTTCAGAATATAGATACATAACTCTACTGATATACATAAAATACACTGAATATTTGAACTGATTGAAAAAAAACTATACAAATTCAAAACCAGAGATTCATTTAGAGATGGCTAGCAAAGAGGAATGTAAGAGGAAAGAGGTAATTCACAGGGCTGGATGTATTGAAATAAATATATGTCTATCAGTAATATATGTATCCCTGATACACGTATCACATGTATCACACATGGGTGAACATTTTCCAAATGAACATGGATGAAAAGAAGTTTCTACTGGAAATATTTAGGGAGCAGAGGATGGTCTGAAAATACAACTTCTTTCAAGTATTATCAAAACTTCAAAACTAAAACTGATCACAGAAACCTTTAACTTTCCAAATGAATGATTTCTTTCTTCCGTAAGGATATCTTAGTAGTTTTTTTTAGCGTTGGTCAACTATATGGACATGTAATGCACATGAAGATAGGCAGACTCAGTAGTTTCTGAAGTAGTTTCAGAAGTACCAGATCTGACTGCTCAAGGCAATGGTTTTCCTTTAGTTTCTCTTATACACAAATGATAAGGGAAGGGTGTAGTCTAAAAACTAGACAAAATTTAATGAAAACCCCAGTGAACCAAAACACTGCATTTTTTTGCATTTCCAGGAATTAGAAACTAACAAAGTGAATTAGTAATGGACAGATCTTATGAAGAGAAAAACACCAGGTGGGAAATTTATCAGCCAATTTATATCATGAATTGGACTAACAATCTGATCTACCATCATTTTTATTATTTATAAGTCGAATCACTAAAGGAACAATAATAAAGTGCTATTTTCTGGAACATTCTCATTAAATGAATTAGGCTTATTTAAGGAATGCTTATGCATATGCTTAATTCCACATCAACAAACAGTTCCTTCAGTTATCATGGTCAGTGCATTTTAAAATGTAAATACTCACAGCTCCCCTGAATAAAAGAAAAGGAACAACTTTGAAGCTCCAATGGCCAAAAAAGACTCAATAATCTGTGGTTACCCCCACAGGACCATTATTCCATGCTATTACTGTAAATCTAAAAATGTTAGCGATTCTCCCAAAAGACAGTTTAACTATGCCATTTGTAAAAGGGAAATGATCTTTACATACTTAACAAAAATATTTCCTGTGGTCTTTGAATTAAATTTGGGCATTTGTTATCAGCTTAAGGCCATTTAAAAAATTCCAACATGTGACATGAACATGCAAACCTGTAAAGTTCTAAACATCTAATTTTTAATTAGAAAGGAGCTTTCCTTCTTTCTATCAGTAGAAAAAAAAAAAGGTATCAATATCATATTGTACCCCAGCAGTTCAGGTGAAGAACTGGAGGATCAAGAGAGCAGGATCTTGTTCCTGACTCTTTGCTGAACTCCAGAAATGAGTGACACCACAACTGGTGAAACATGGGCTACCCTGTGAGTGTGGGTATATTCTCTCTAAATCCAAATGGAATTGTAAAGTACTGGGCTGGATCATAACATTCTCCCACCTGTGTCTCAACTTCATATTCAAAAATCACAACAAAGTGATGTGTGGTTTTTTTTGGGGTGGTTTTTTTTCCCCTCCTGTGCTTTGTCCATGCAGCCTGCTTAGGTAATAACCTCACAGCAGAGATGTTATCTTATTCTTCTTTCTC